ATATACAAATAAATTAAACATAACAAAATAAAAATACTTTTCAGTAGAATGGTTACAACTTATGTTATAAAAGCTGATGTCAGGGATTTAGCTCAGTGGCACCATGCCTGCCTCATAAGCACAACGTACTAAGTTTGATCCCTGGTACCAGAAAAAAAAAGGAAAAAGAAAACTATAATATGTTATTAGAAACAACAATATTGTGTCAAAAAGACTATAAAAGTACAAGAATTGAATATTTTAACAAAGATCAAGTTCAAACATTTTCAAATTTTTGAAGTAAATGTATGATCCTTTGGAAACTCAATGTGGACTTGTATGAAGTAAGGGGTAGGAGTTCTCCTTCCCTTGGGCTGTGCTATGCTGTAAATATTCCCTCCAAAGCCAGGTATGGTGGCACATGCCTGCAATCTCAGCACTCAGGAGGCTGAAGCAGGAGGACTGATAGGAATTTGAGGCCAGCCTGGGCTACATAGTGAGTTCAAGGCCAGCCTGGAGTACATAGTGAAACCCTCTCTCAAAAAAAAAAAAAAAATGTTCCCTCCAAATTCCTGTGTTGGAAACATAATCTCCAAATTCACCTGTTGGTGATATTAGGAGGCACAGCCTTTGGGAGGTAATTAGGGTAAGATAAGGTCATGAGGATGAGGCCCTGTGACCAGATTAGTGTCTTTATAAGCAGAAAGACCCAAGCTTGCACCTTGCCCTATGCTGCTGTGTGGTGCCCTCTACCAAATTAAGATAGAGCAAGAAGATGACACCACATGCCAGCAACTTGATATTGAATCTTCTGGCCTCCAAAACTGTGAGTGGACAAATGTCTAATGTTTATAAACTACTCAGGCTCTGAGATTCTGTTATAGCAACAGCAAACACATTACTTATTAGCATCATCCACCTTAACCACAGATGACTGCCTCCTGGGGAGGGAGGCTCCCTCTTCCCTGCTCAATCCCAGTGCCACTGACTGCCCTGAGCTCAAGTCTAGCAGTCTAACCCCTAAATGCCAGGTGGGTATCAGGTCTGGCCTGGCACTAAAAGAGGGGCCTGCCTTGCAACTTGCCTGATATCCACCCATTCCTAAAAACTATCATCTCCGGCTTGGACACAGGGCTTCTAAGCCAAACATGCACTCCATGACAACTCCTAGCCCCGAAGGACAGGTGCCCTTTGTCATATTTGAGAGTTATCCTGGGCCGGGGATGTAGCATAGTGGCACTGTGCCTGCCTGGCAAGTGCAAGGTCCTGAGTTCAATCCCTGGTACCATAAAAAAAAAAAGGCAGCATATTTGAGAGTTATCCTCAAGAGGTCTTCACACAGGCCGTCAAAGCACTCTGTGATTGGAGGGCCTGACAATCTTTAAAGTGACTGCTGAGGCAGAAGGATCACTGGGAGTTCGAGGTCAGCCTGGGCTACATAGTGAGTTCAAGACCAGCCTGAATTACATAGTGAAACTGTGTTTCAAAAAAAAAAAAAAAGTGACTCTGACCCACTCCCTCTAATCCTATTGAGAGGGGGTGAAAGTACAGCGTCTCGCCTGGGGGCCCAGAACTCCCTTCTATCACAACCAGCGCTCTAAAGTTGTCAGATATGTAACACAAACATTTAAGGATTTCAGCAACTAATTACTGAGCAATTGGTATGCTCTGGGAGAAGAGCTCGACCGAGTCCTCCCTGTGGCTGTAAATCTGTGGTGCCACCGGCAGGTGGCACTGGAGGCCTATTCATGAGCACTATCTGCCCCGCTCACCTAGGTTTAGAGAACCTGGGATCTGAATGAGCAGGCATCGTGAGTAGAGGAAGGAGAGGGTACTAGGGCTGAGTTTACAGCATCCTGGTCAGAGAAGAGGGGCTAAGAAGACTAGCGGATCTAGGCACACACTGAAGACGGTAAAGGACGTAGGCCTAGAGTGGGCGGGAAATATAAATATGAGCGGGGTTCTGCACTAGCAGGAGGCAGAGCCTGGAGGAAGGGTTGGGTTTTGTTCTCTGCTTGGGCTCTGCTTGCCGGCAGTCTAAACAAGAGGATTCTCTAGGTGGGCAGGATTTAAAGGCCTATAGGGGCGGGACTTGCAGGCGGGGCCAGGAGGTGGGGCTCGTGTAGGTGAGCCGCTTCCTCCGTGTGAATTGTTATCCATGTGTGGGCGGGGTTCTTCCCCTGTGTGAGTTGTAGCTAGGGGCGGAGCCTGCAGCAGAGCTTGAGGGGAATTTCTCAGGTTCGCTAGAGGGCGGAGTTTGTGTCTCTCCTGCACAGAGTTAATGATTCTGCAAGATGCAAGATTCCGTGCAGAGTCGAAGGCTCTGTAAAGGGGCGGAGTTTGCAGTTCTGTTAGGCGGGGCACATAACTGCCTGTGAATTGTTAAACTCTGGACGGAGTTCATACCTCTGCGAGGCCGGCCTAATCACTGTAAGAGCCCAGGGGAAGGGGCGGGGCTTATGGGTTGGGCGAGGGGGAACTGGGCGGGGCTGAGATGACAGAAGGGCGGGGCAATAGCGCTGTAGGAATCTGAGCTGGCAGGGAGTGAGGCTTGTGACTTTGGTGGGCGGGGCCTCTGGAGCGCTCCCAAGGGGACTTTGCAGTGGGTGGGCGTGGCTAGTAGCTCCGAGAGGCCAATCAGGTAGCGAGCGCCTGAGTCCGGGCCCGTGCTTGGTTGGAGGGGGCCTGGGAGTGGGGGGGCCCTGGGAGTGGCCGGCGGGGCCTGAGACACAGCTCTCTGTTGGGCGGAGCCGGGCCTGGTGCCGGCTGGGGCTCTGCCCTGGGAGGCGGTCTGTTTAGGCCCGCACGCAGCTCCGCATCTGGTGCTCATTACCGGATGACAAAGAGCCGGCTCTGGGCCCCCTTCCCCACTCCCATCCCCCTCCGACTGCAGTGCCTTTAACTCCTTCCTGCCCTCGCGGCGCTCTGGAGGCTCAGCCTGGGGTCCTGGGAGGGAGCTTCAGAGTTTCCCGTTCAGCTGATTTTCTCATTCCCTAAACTGAGTCCGCACCTCTTTCCCAGACTAAGGCATCGGGGCACTCCGCGACCCCCACTTCCATCCAGCAAGCCTGCCCCTCGGCTTCTCGGAGGTTAAAGCTCAGCAGGATCTGGCAGGGGCGTCTGGTTTGAGTTAGGGGAACGTGAGAGCAGCGACCGTGGGCGGTGCGTAGCGTTCCCTCCGCCCCCTCCGCCACCTCCCGGTTCGTCCCCAGCTCTGGCCCCTCCTCTCCTGCTCCCCTTGGGGCTCAACCTCTGGGCCTAGGGTGACACAGGGCTCCAGGTAGGGAAGGGTCGTTGAACCGCCTCTCCTCGTCTGCCCCTGTAGTGGCGGCGTCTCTGCCCCTTCCTAATTAGAGGTCTCGAGAGGTGGAAACTAAAAAATTATAGAGGCGGTGTTAACCGGCGCCTCCCTCGTCCAGATCCCGCCTCCTCCGCCCAGGCAACGAGCCCAGGACGAAGGAGTTTACCCCACACACTGTAATCTTCCTGCTGTGATTTCTAACCCGGGCCCCCTCCTCCAGATCCTGGGACTTCTCAGCTTTGAGCAGCCCGAGCCCTCGCTGGCGTGTGTTCTCTCTGACCCCGCACCATCTTCACCCCGAACGAAGAAGTATGCAGTGTGGCCCTGAGCCGGTTGCTTTGCTCCAGAGTCTGCCCGGGAGATGGACCTGGGCTCTCTTGAGTTCCTGTTTTCTCCACCTCAGCCTCCTGGGCTCTGATTTCTGCCCCCTCCCTAGAGCAAGAGGGAGGAACGCCTCCCAGAGCACCTACAATCCAGAGAGGGGGGCAGCATCCTTAGGTGACCTGAGCCCCAGCCCCCAACTTCTGGGCAGCCTGCCAGGATGGGAAGGGATGTTCTAAAGAAAGTTCAGGGGAACTCACCCCCTAGATGCCCCCTTTATCCCCCCAAATCAGCAGCCCCAGAGCCTATTTTTGACCCCTAAACCCCAATTTTACTGTGCATCAGCAGAAGCCCTAATCCCTAAATCCTTCTCTAGTTTCAGCCTTGCCTTCCTGGAGTTTTGGCAAAAAGAGGAACAAATATGCTAAATCTCAGATTCTTGGGTTTGCTGTGTGACCATGCCCTAGGCTCTGCCCTCTCTGGTCTCCTGCTTCCCTGAGAATCCCTGAAACATACCCTCCATTAAGGGATCTTACCTTACCTAGAGAAAATGAAAGAAGATCCATTCTGTTTTTCTTAATCTTCCCAGACCCTCCCTTCTGGCATCAATGAGGGTCAGGCACTTCGGCTGAGGTTGGCACCCCATTCATTTATTGGAGAAGACCCCAGCACCCAACCCCTGAGGTCCTGGTGGCCTTGGTGTATCCTCTGTCATGAGTGCAGGATCCAGGGAGCAGGAGGCCCTCTGTCCAGGTGGGCAGCCCCATAGGTCCCTGGTGCAGCCTCAGCTATGTGTCCAGCCATGTCCCTTCCCCCTACCGCAGGGGCATCTTGCCCTGTCACACGCTTGTTCTGCAGGTCTGTACCCCTGTGAAGCTGCCCCTGGAGGGCATGGGTTCTGTTTGGCCTTTGCTCCCAGCATGGGTGACCCAGTGGTAGCAGTCAGTGATGCGCTTATTGGGCACATGGGGGCCACAGCGGGTGCAGTACACGATGCCCAGTGCAAGGAGGACCACCAAGAAGACGCATGTCGGGACCAGAAGTGCCACCAGCAGCCACCGGTCATCCCTCTGGCTTTGACTTGCTAGACCAGCCTCTGCCAGAGCTGTTGGAACTGCTGTAGGGACCAATTTGGAAGTGGGACCACCTTCCCTTGGGACTTGGGGAGCTTTGGAATGGGGATGTGTAGGGCTGACACGTGAGGTCTGGTTAGCTGGGCTTTGAGGGGACAGAGGAGTAGGGAGGGCTGTGAGCTGAGTAGCAGCAGGCACAGGGGCCTGATGGGCAGGGGTGTGAGGTGACCCAGAGGTAGTGGGCAGGGTGTGCTGGACAGTTGGGGTAAAAGAAAGCTGGGGGTCTTGGGTCCTGATGGCTGTGACATCTCTGAACAGAGGGGGTTGATGGGCGCTTGGGGTGGTGTCCAGAGGGGCAGGGTTAGCTGGGATTCCAGACAGATGAGTGGTGGTCTGAGTGTCTGCCACCTGAGGGTCTGGAAACATGGGAGACTGGTGGGGAGGGAAGAAGTGGGGATATTTGGGTGAGGTAATAGGGGGCTGGTGGGCAGGGGGCTGTGCTGGGGGATTGACAGAGATAACTTGGGGCTGGTGGGCAGAAGGGAGATCTGGATAGTTGGCCTCAATCACAGGGTTCTGGTGATAAGGAAGTATAGCTGGGTACATGGCGGGGATCATGGGGTGCCGATGGGCAGGGCTCGGGGGTGGGTGTGTGGCAGAGATAATAGGGTTCTGGTGGGCAGAAGACAGGGTGGGGTACACGAAAGAGAGCACAGGCGGTCTATGGGGAGAGCTCAGGGGTGGGTGTGGGGGCGTCTGGCGGACAGAGGGGAGTGTGGGGTGCATGGCAGAGAGCACAGGGTGTCTATGGGGAGGGTTCAGGGGTGGGTATGCAGCAGAGATAATAGGGGTCTGGCGGGCAGAATGCAGTGTGGGGCGTGTGGCAGAGACTACCACAGGCTGAGTGTCAGAGATCACTGAGGAGTGGTAGGGGACCCTGGGGGCACTGAGTGGGGGTGGCCAAGTGGGCTCCAGATGGGGTCTCCTTGGCTCTTGCTCTCCTGGGAAGCTGGGTCTGTAAACCAAGCCAATGTCCGGTGGCTGCGTGGGTTCCATCCACAGGATCCCAGGGTCCTCTGTCCAGCCACCATCAAAGACCCAGTCCTCGTCCTTCTCCTCCTCCTCCTCCTCCTCCTCCTCCTCCTCCTC